TATCACGGCATTAATGCCTTATGGCCTGTAGGGGGAGGGGAACCATGTTAATCACTGAAAGCTTTACTTGAAATTCTTCCTGTACTATCTAATTTGTGTTGGTTCAAAATTAGATTTACTTGCAAGGCTTACATTTACTCCTCTGGCACCAGGGAGACCGGCCAACTAATCTTTATTATCTCTTCTGGTGAGGGCCACATTTGGTGACAGGATCTTGGAAAAGCCGGTCTCCCCACCCCTTCTTTTTGGGTTCCAGGCAAAATTCTACATTAAGTGAACTCACTCTTTTGTGTTTCTCCCAGTTTCTCTTTCTCCCTGTGTCTCCCATACCCTAGTCCATTTGCTAGAGGCTTGCATTTCTAGAGCAGACGTATAACAACAGTGAGTCCACATCCCATTGTTGATGGCTTTAAGATGCTGATACTCCAGGGAGTATTCTAAGGGGACTCATGCCTAGCATAATGCCGTACCCAAAAGAGCCCATTTCCAATGGCAAATTTTCTGGCCCTGGGGCAGCTACATAAAGGAGAAATTGTTTTGAGCAGGGTTGTCTTTCTGAGGCCACTCAACTTCTGCCTGTTTCATACAAACAACTCTGGGCATGGGTGTGGGGACAACATCCTTTGGGGGTTTTAATTCACATTTCTTGTGACTCAAATCAAAGATGGAATTTTCCATGGAAACAGTACCTCAAGGGCATCTTTGTTCAAGACCCAAACATCATGCAAGGATCTTCCTACTTCTCACTGGTGGTTATTTGTGGTGTAAACATTGGGGACTTTGCGCCGTGCTGACCTGTTTTCCTGATGTACCTTGCAGGGTAAGGGCTAATCCAGTGAGTGGATGTGGTCTTCCCTAAGGGGTAGGCAGCCCAGAAGTCACCCCTGACTGGGAAGAGGCAGGTCCTCGGGCAGGTTCTGTGTCTGGAAGTCCAGAATCTCTGCCTCTTTCTAGGTTTTGGATTTGTGAGTTTGGACTTCAAGGTATTTGAGGGAACATCAGGGGCTGTTTGGCTCTCCTCCATTGAGCTTCTTTGCCTCCCAGCTGAAATACTTCAATGACATTTGGACTTTTCTCTCCATTTCCTGAGGAGCTTTCTCTCATAATCTTGGGGATGTTCAATCAGAAATTGTAACCCAGCCAGGAAAAGATGGTTGAGAGGGGGCTTGAAGAAGCAACCTGGAGGTTCTACTGCCCAAGTAGGTTCAGTCCAGGGACTGTAAGAAAAACTTGTTTCATCGGGTGCTGTTTCAGGAGATACTTAGCCTCTCTTTCTTCTTCCTTCATCATAAGTCACTTTCCTTGAACACTCAATGGCCTCACAGTTGAAGTGTCCCTAGTCTGGCTTTCAGGTTATAGCATAAGTACCATTAATTGGACATGAGCTTTCACAAGATGGTGGCTTATTGGATATAGATTTCTAACCCTGGGAGCCACCTGTATCACAGTCTCGGATTCCAGAGTCTTCTTACTCTCCTGGCAGAACCTTCTCAGGCTTGCGCCCAATTCTTTCAGGCCTGGAACTGAGAATTCTCTACTTCAATCCCTGTTCTTGGACTGTTTTGAGTAGAAATCCTTCTAGGAGAGAGTGTACCCTTTTGTTTGCTTATAATCTTCCTCCTGAGAATTCCCCCTCCTGAAAAAAATCTATTTGGGTTCTCCTCCTCTTGCATAAAGCCATCCACATTTTTCCTTCCCCAGAACTCTTTTTTCCCCAACCATCTTTTGGCAATGAATCATACACGTCTTATGACTTACTCCAATAATTGCTTTATGGTAAGCTTAATACCCACTTCACCTAGTAAGCTTTCCTAATTTTGACCTATGGCAGGCATCTCTGTCTGCACAAGGAGACTCTGGAATATTAAATGTCTTTGGCAAAGTGGCTTTGATTTGGGCAGATGTTTTTATAGATCTATCACTAGTGTCAATCTGCTTTCCATGAGGGAAATTTGGCTGACCTTCAAAGGACAAAGATTATTGACCTCCCTTGGAAGCCAATGGAAGTGAATTCACTATCAGACTTTTTTTTTTTTTAACGTAAAAATGGAAGACAATTAAAGGCAGCATAGTACAGTAGCCCCTTCTTATCCACAAGGGATACGCTTCAAGACCCCTCAGTGGATGCCTAAAACACAGATAGTACCAAACCCTCTATGTACTATGTTTTTCCATACGTCCATAAAGTTTCATTTCTAAATTAGGCACAGCAACATTAACAACAATGATAAAACAGAACAATTACAATAACATACTGTAATAAACTATGTGACTTGTTTCTCAAAATATCTTACTGTACTGTACCTCCCCCTCCTTCTTGTGAGAGTTGATGAAATACCTACACAGTAAGATGAAGTAGGGTTAGTAGACATTGTGACACAGCATTAGGCTATAACCTTCTGGTGATTGGTCACTAGGAAGATTGTCTGCTTCCAGACCCCATGGCCATGAGTAACTGAAACTTTGGAGATCAAAACCACGGATAAGAGGGACTACTGTAGTAAAATAGACTTCATTATGCTATCCATCTCTTCATAGACTAAGCATGGTTCTCCCACGTGACTTTCTTTGCAGCATTTCATTTCATCACAGAATGATGACTCCTGGCAACCCAAGTAAGAGATGGCTAGGCCTGCCTCTCAATAATCACTTGCCCTAAGAATAAGGTTAAGAATAAAGCATTCTCAGGTAGGAGACTGGCTGGCTGAACTGGTGTGTAATACCAGTGAAGCATGCAACTTTCCAGACACCATCAGATGACACAAACATGCCAATCAGTCAAGCAAGCAGGGAGATCATCTCTTCTTTAGAAAATAATTGTATTGCTTAGGCCCCCCGTAAGTTAGTGTGTGTGAATATAGTTTTGAGTATTGTGACATTCTCAAGTCCCATACAGCCAAAGAAACCAGAAGGCTACCCATCTGAGTTAATCCTAGTTCATCATTTAGCATATGGAAATTTCTTTGATTTTGCTGGATCTGGCCCAAAAGTATGGGTGGGGACACAGGGTGACAGCCAATAACCTAATTATGTGTATGGCTTATTGACTTGTCCAAAAAAACTTTAGTTGATCATTCACATTAGTCTGGAAACTAAGTCTAAAGTCTGAGGATTTTATTTATTAGAATTGCTGAATTAGAGACTAGGTTGGTAACGATTTCCAAAGGAGAAGTTCTTATGGGAGAGAAACCATCACGTTGACTCGTTTTATGTCTCACAGTAAAATGATTCAGTCTCACCAGGCTTCATATTATGAGGAGCAGAGCCATCATTTAATGTATACTTTTCTTTTTGTCTGCTTATACGTGTGAAGAGCTAAGTACCCTGATCGTTTCAATTTTTTTAAGCAACTAATTTGAGGCAGAAATGATATATCCATGTCCTTTGTGAGGACTCATTGCCCAGGAAAAAGATGACCTCCAAGAGCCTCACCTACAACACGCAGTGTCTCTACCTAGAGAAGCTACATGGTCTCCTTCCTGGTTGTTGGGTCACAGGTGGCTCGCCGCTCTGAGTTTGCAAATAAAGTGCATCTTGATAAATAAGGTTCAAAGTAGGAGAATGTTCAGAGACTGAGAACAGCAATTCAGCTCTTGGCAGGTACAAGTTGAAAGTGCCTTTTTGCAGAAAGCCACCACTAGCTCTGTAACCTGCTCCCTGGAGAAGGAAACAGTCTTAGAAGGGCTGCCAAGGGAGAAATGACTTAACAAAATCAGAAGCCAGATGTAGCTCTGCTTCCTCTCCAATAGAGGCATATTTGTGCCCCCTCAATTATACCTAATCTACTGAGAGGCTGTACGGGAAAAGACCCAGAGAAAGTATAATAGTTAAATACCTGCAAGAACGCATTACTACTTAGATTCTCTCAAACCAACCGTCCTGTAGCAGAGGAAATGCACAAACATCATTCCATCTGACAGTTAAATCTTTTTCTTGAGGTCACGCTGCAGATGAAGAGTAAAATGAGAATAAATGGGACCAATAATTAAGAAGGCGGAAATGTCGAAAGGGTCTGGATGAACAGAAGAACACTGGACAGTTGTGGGATAGAAATACAGCTGAAGGCAGGGACTCAGGGCTCCAGGGAAACCGGTTTCCTCTTCTATGTGGTTCCTTGTCCCGCGTTTCACCTGAAGTTCAGAGGTTATTTTAGATGATCGGATGATAGAATTTCAACAGCTCCAAACCAGCTGGGACAATCACTGAAATGTCTGAGAGAGGAAGTCACTTCAGGATACGGTTCAAGGAGACATTAAAGTTACGATGTGCAAGCGCTTGACTTTGAAGGGGGAGGAGGGTGCTGACAGGAGGTTATGAATCGCTGTGTACATTTCCTGTTCCTGTTCCTTAACCGACATCCTCAGGCATCTCTCCTCCTTGGTGTGGGGGTGGGGAGGAGAGGAGTGTTCTCTACTGCCCTCCTTTTAGCTGCCTCCATCTTGTTTATATGGGACCTGCAGCGAGGAAACATCTGTCCAATGGGGACGGGGTTACGAGAGTTGGTTATAGTGCGTTAAAGTCAGAGATGCACAGAAACGAATTTTGAGAGGCTGGCATCAACGTTGCCCTAAAAACTCTGAGGGACCCCTGGGTGGCTCAGTGGGTTGAGTGTCCAACTTCAGCTCAGGTCGTGATCTTGCGGTCTGGGAGTTCCAGCCCTGCAATCAGACTTGCGGCTGTCAGCCTGTCGGTGCAGAGCCTGCTTTGGACCCTCTGTCCCCCCTCTCTCTGCCCCTCCCCTACTGATGCTGTCCCCAAAATAAATATTTTTTAAAAAATTCTGATCTCACATGTCCATTTTTCCTAAAATTGAGGGGTGCTGTATCTGGAATCGCAAACCTTCGGGAAATAATCAAAACTGCAGAGTGGATGGATATTACCTCCTACCTTATTTTAAAGGCTCACATACACTTCAGAGAAGCAGCTTTCCTAGTCCTGGACTTACAGAAAAGGTTATCATTCTCTTATTATGTTTTTATTTATTACTATAAACAAGCAACTTCATTTTAACATTTACTCTTTATTGTGTTGCATGAAGTACCTATGTAATGCAAGTATGTACTGTACTAAAATACCTATATTTCCAAATAACATTATATGGTGTAGCCCACAGTCTCTGCAGAAGCATCTTGAGTAACCTGTACCTTTATACTTTACAATCCATTGCTGGGTGCTGTGAAAAGTATGATTAACAGATGAAGAAAAAGAAATAAAGCTAAATATGAATACACTTTTCCAAACATATACATACGCAGCTTACAATGGGACCCCACATGGAAACAAGTCAAATGACATTTGATGTAATATCTATAAAATGTAGACTCTGCAATAAAAAGCCAAAGGCACATAAAAATATATTTTAACTTTAAAAATAACTTAGTTACAGTAATACTTTGCTTGTGTCTTACCAACATGTAGCGGACAGTCAGAATTTCGCGAGATAGATAGAATATATAGGGATATAAAGAGCTACAAGAAAATCCCCTGAACCCAAAAAGTTGTTCAAATGTGAAAACAGAAATAGTTTTAACACTGAAGAATTTGCTATGGCGAGCCCAAATGATATAATCTAGAAAAGAGTCTAGAAAAAAGGCTTAGGTGTTAAATAAATTTTGACTTCTTCCTGCCCAGGAAATGCTAGAGTACTGTGAAGTTCTTTAACGTGACTTGCGCAGCCCTTCGTAACTAGTGCCAGTCCTGGCCAAGCCAGATTTCTTACGTGTCTGGAAGCAGAAAACATGAGCTGAACATCAGCAATACCCGCCGAAAAAAAATGGGTCCTGACTGACTCACTTTCTTTCTGCCAGGACAGTCTTTTGCTTTGTTTTGTTTTTGCAAACAGGGCGTAACAGGTGCAAAAAATACTTTGTAGGAACATTATTTTAGAAAACCTATCACACAACGGCAAACACAGCCAGCGATGCTCTCCTCTTGGACTGTGGTTGGTTTAGTTTTTATTTTTTGATACCTTCTACCCCCGAGGACCAGAGTTGGCGGTGGCTGTTACTTATTTTTATCCATGACATTCAGCACCTCATCCAAAAACGAGGGCCCCAGATCGAGCTGCAGGGAGAGGAGGGACCCCGTGAGATCGGAGAGGGACTCCTCTGATTTAGTCTTTTCCTTGACGAGCTCGCACGGGGCAGGCTGGTCATACATGTCCTCGGCCGGCCAGTCGGGGTACTGTTCAGAGAGGCTGGAGGAGTGGCTGTCCCTGCCCTGGCTGGACTGGGACGCGGACCCGCTGGAGCCCCAGGACATGTCTCCCTGGTGGCCTGTCCCATTCTCCAACAGACCGCTTTTCTCCGGGGCCTTCTCCTCCACGACGGGCTCACAGCTGAGCCGGGGCAGCTTGGCCGGCCCGAAGGACTCCTGCTTAGAACTAAACGTCACCGGTGACAGTAAGGGCAGCATGAGCGCCTGGGAGCCTCCGATGGTCGGCAGGGAGATGGCGTTTTTGAGCACCGGGGAGGGCGTTTCTGTGAACATGGAGTCGGACGTGCTGTTGGCCCGGAAGAACTCGCCGTGGCCGGGCAGCTGGCCCAGGCGGGCCTTCTCCTGGTTTCCCGGCAAAAGCTCGTAGTTCCCCTGGAGGAAAGAAATATCTCCAAAGACGTCATGCTGGCCCTCTTTGCCGATGTGAATGGTGTGGCGGAAGTCTCCCAGAGGAGGACTGATCATATCGGGGGACAAGATGTCCCTCAGTTTAAATTTCTTTCCTTTCTTGTTATTGGCAGCTTTCAGGTAAATTGGGGTCTTGGCTGGCATTTTGGAGTCGGAGAAGGTCTGCTTTGCCAAAGGGAAAAGGGCCACTTTCTTCGCAGATCTTGTTTCCGAATATCCTTTCTGATAGGATCTGTCACATCATTTTTCTCAAGAAGCTTCCAGAAGTGGCTCTGAAAGGAGCCTGGGTTTAAGAGGCCTTCCTGAAGTCACAGCCACGGGTGGCGTCCTGGTGGGCCAGTTCCGTCATCCAACCCCTTCCACAGTGGGGAGAAACCTGGAAAGGAAACCAAAGCAGGTTATAGTCAGCTGACCATTCAGGGTTCACGGGGGCCTGCCTGTTCCCCCAGAGCCTGTGAATAAAGGCAGGACCAGTTCCCATCTACAGCCAAACTTGATTTTATTTTCTCTCTCTATCAAGTAGGATAAAAACTTTAATCTCGGGGTCTTTTACTAAGGGCCCACTAATCTTAGTCTTATTTTAGGGGGGAAAAAAAGGGAAAAGGAAAGAAAGAGATGAAAAAAAAAGCTCGTATCTATGACATCAGTATTTTCTAAACATGGCCATGGACACAATTTTCTGCAGATGCCTAAGATTTTAGATTTTTCCTCTATTATAAGAACTGCTGTCAGCACATGACCAGAGTGATTTCAGCTCCTTCAATACAAAGTGGATTTGCTTTAAAATGTTTTCTCTTTTGTTTGATAATATTTTGTTGTTGAGTTCTGCATCTAAATACATTAATGCAATGCAGCGATTAGTCCTATAAGGAAAGGGGCTGGAATTATCACTGGCTAAGTGACAGCGGCTATTATATGCCAGTGGCCAACAAAATCTCAGCAAAATGCCGTCTTCCACATGAGAAAATAGGGATTCAGGAGTCAAACAGTAAATCACCCTTCGTCAAGAACACCCAGCTGGTACAGAAAGAGCTGGAGCTGGAACCAAGTTGTGGCACAGAAAACTGGGCTGTCAAGGGATTCAGGTCTTGGAGGCATTTTTTGATAGAAGCAAAAGAACAAAACTTCTTTTCAAATTAAAAATAGTGTGATCATCTACAACAGGGTGGGGTCTTGGAAATACTTTTGGAACACGTGTTGATAAAGTGTGTGTCCTCTCCTTGTGGTAGGTGGCACCCCAGAGTAACCCCCATGATGTGCCTCTAGATGCTAACACCTGTGTGGGCACAGCCTGGGACTTGCTTCTAAACTACAGAATATGGCAAAGGTGGGGGGATGTCACCACCCCGTGGTTAGGTGACATGATAAAAGAGTCTATCTTAGACTGGAGGAGGGTGCCGTTCACTGGCTTTGAAAAAGTAACTTCTGTGCTGAGGGAGGGCCTGTGGAGTTTTTCTGCCGACAACCTGGGGGAACTGGAAGTAGATTCCCCTGGCCCCGGTTGAGCCTCTGATGAGACCAAAGCCCCCTGACACCTGTCTCACAGCCTGATGAGACCCTGGAGCTAAGCCCTGCCTGGGCTCCCAACCCACAGAAACTGTGTGACAATAACTAGGTGATGCTGTAAGCCACTAAGTTTGCGGCAATGTGTTACCAGCATAGAAAATGCACACGCTGTCCCTGCATGTGCTACTTCACACAATGAGAAGCGCTAAGCCAGGAGGTGTGGGGCTCTGGGTTCTCATCTTACAGATGAGAAACTCCTCATCTCTTAAAAATAAATCCTCTGACTCTTCAGTCCCATCAGCTGGCGTGAAGAAGTTGAAAACCTTTCCCACTACGGGAATTCCTGAAATGCTCTACTGAGACCTCTCCCATTGGGCTCCCCTCCCCATTGGCAGCGGAGCAAATAAAGAAATAAATGTCCAAGAGCTGAGCTGGGTGGTTGCTTGGAGAGAGCCAGTCACATTTGCTCTGTAGCAGCTGGAGGCTATCTGTATGAAAACTTTGAGTCCATTTCCCCATGGCAGGTGGAAAGAGCTGTGCTCTGGCACCCAGCGGCAAGGTCCCAACGAGCTCTGTTTGGGAAGTGGCATGCCCCCCAGGCTGGACAAGGCAGGGACCGATGGGCTTAGAGAGGCCAGCCCCACCCCGCCCTGACTTCGTCTGTGGGGGAGGAGGTCCACGCAGCACGAACTGGTTTGCACCTGGAGTGAGCCGACCCTGAAGCTGCCAGCTCGGAACTCACACGCACCACCTCTCTCTTTAGTCCCAACTAAGGACCTGGCTCCACCAGGCTCCCCGAAGTGCTGCTGCTGCGGCCACATGGAGGTGCCCCGTGGTTCTGCTTCCCACATGAGGTTAGGGCTGCAGGGAAACAGTTACTAACAGAGATGCGCAGAAGAAGCCCCGCTGGTGGGTCCGGATGCTCTCTCAGCTTTGACGCTAATTTGGGTCTGGGGGCAGTGGCAAGTGGCACAAGTCCAAAGCCCTGGATCCCAATGGCAAGATGTCCTCTCCCCTGTGAATGTACAACAACCGGGGGCCCCTGCCACTCAGGGGTGACTGGCACTGCCCTTCTGTACCTCTGGGCACAGCGTGGTGGATGGTGGCCTGCAGGAGCCGCCAGGGCACCGGGCCCACAAGAGGTGGGGGCAGCCCTGAGGGACAGGTGTCCCTTGGAGCGGTGTCCAGGCTCACACAGCCAGGAGCACAGCTGCCAGGGAGAGATACAGCATGTCCTCTGCCAGCTCAGGGGCAAGGGACGGCTGCCCGTGGTCAGCGGGTGCAGCCAGGGTTACGCAAGGCCAGAAATCGAGGCGGGGCCCTTCCAGTCAGGCAGGGAAGTAAAAATACGGTGAGGATGCAGCCAGAGGACCGTGCTCTCCTCCCTGCTGACTGGGCCACTCACCATCGCCCTCACTTGAACAGCGTCTGGCTGCTCTGGGGAGAGAAGGGAGAGGAATGCCCGCCCTCAGTCCCTGTGGGCCACGGTCACGGCCGTGGGCACTGCCGGCCTTTCACCAGAGGCCGGCTCAGTCTGGTAGAAGCTGGGTTTTATGCCAGGGGCATAGACGCAAAGGCAGAAAGGAAGGGACAAAACATAGGGGGAAAAGAGGAAGAAAATGCTTGGTGAGTGAAGGTTAGATCAGCTGCAGGCAGTGAGCCTAGAGTGGAGGAGAAGACACTGTAAAGGGCATTTTTCCTCCTATAAATATTTACATAGTGTTTATTGAGTGAGAGGGATGTAGGCTTCTAGGACTTTGCAAACAGTAATTTGTATTGAATTTCTCCCATGTACCCATGAGCTCCCATTCATTGGAAGTTGTTCGGGGTTTTTTTAAAAGTAAGTGTGGACATAAATGTCTCTCTAGCTTTAGGTGAGTTGCTATTTGCAATGTAACGTGGGGGAAATGGAGCTCTGACCCCATCCCTCTATTTAATCTCTCTTCTCCTGTTCAGGGGCAACCATGTTTGACCTAATAATGAGGATTTCTCACACTGGCTGCTTCCCCCCCCCCCTTTTTGGATATTCTGGGCCCCCTGGCTTATCAGCCAACGTACATCAATGTGGCTTTCCCTTCCTGGCCTATTCCCTCCGCATCTTCTCTGCCATTGCTAATGCACAATTTCTTAGTTGTTAACAAAGGAGCTGGTCCTGGGGAGGGTACGTGCATGCACCTGGGAACCATCAACACTAAGTATTACTGAGAGCATCTCTATGTTCTGGGCACCGTGCCAGCCTTGGCTATGTACAAGCTCACTCAGAAGAACCCACGAGGCTGCTACTGTTAACATCCCCATTTTATAAATAATGCACTGAGGTACAGGCATTGAGTCTTGAGTCCCTTTGCCAAGGATACATGGCTACGAGGCACTAAACCCAGTGGCCAGACTCCAGAGTTTAAGGTCCTGACACTTAATGATCACACTCACTGGTAATTCAGTCAACTCCCAAATTATGAAGGGGGTGCATTCCAGAGACTGTTTAAGAAACAAACGTGTGATGACACACTGGGCTGATAAGGGTGGGGTCAGGCCTTGCGTCTACCCGGTGGTGAAAGCCCGAACAGATTCCACCTCATTGGAAGGTGGTTGCCTTTGACACCAGAATTCCACTTACAGAGATTTACCTGGCTTGCATGTAGCGGAAATAATACATGTACAAGATTATCAAATCCAGGAGGTTACAACAGTCTTGAGTTGGAAACAACCTAACTGTCCACCGATAAAGGACCGGTTAAAGAAATTAAGGTATTATCAATTACGAATGACTATTACACAGTTCTTATAAAGGTTGCAACAGCTCTTTGTCTGCTGATAGAAAGAGCTCAAAGATATCTATCTATAAGATACTGGTTCGTGTGTCTAAGTACCTCTGGGAGCACACGCAAGGAACTAATCATGGTGACCGCCCCCAGGAAGGGGTGGACAGGACAGGACAGGGGTGGGAGAGAAACTTCTCACTGTATAGCCTTGTGTGACTTTGGGTTTTTGAACCACACGAATGACTTAGCCATTAGTTATTTAAATAAGTAAGTAAGTAAGTAAGTAAGTAAGTATAAGGCTGCTTAAACCTCAGAGCGAATGTTATACAAAGGTCCTGAAAAGCCTACTCAACCTGTTACTGGATCATAATGCAAACACTCGTGTGGCAATTGTGTTCAAAAGCCAAAATGGAGGGTGGTGCATGTGGGTATAGGAAGACCTCAGGAGAGGGCTGACCTGGTCTCTCCGGAGCATGGCCAAGGGACAGATCACCTCTTCCTACAGGGACCTGGCCTTCACGTTTGAGGCAGCACGGGTGTTACTTTGCAGAATGGAAAAGATCTCACAAGAGAAGGGTTTTTAGCCACCAAGACGTGAGAAGAGCTAAGAGGCAGAGGATGCAGCAGTGTCCATGAGGAGGGCAGCACCGACCAGAGGACACACCGGGGCTCGGGCGCACAGCTTCCGTTCAGGCGGTGGCTACTGGCACGGACCATGCTCTACGACGCCACGGTCCTAAACACCCAACGCGAAATCCTGTCCCTGGCTCACCGCTTGCAGAAAAGGAGACCTGGGCTCCGGGAGGCTACCGGCTACGGCAGTAGATACAGCGGGGATGAATCCCAGTGGGAAAGCCTGAGTCAGGCGACACCCCAGAGGCTTTGCCCTCTGCCCAGAAGGAAGTGGGATTACTTGCCATAGGTTGGGGTGGGGAGAGCAAGGAGGGGCGCCCAGGCCAGGTGTGAACTACGCAACCAGAACCCGGGTGTTACACGGGTCAAATGAAGAGAACTGCTAGCCTGTGACTATCAGTCAAGACTCTACCATCCATCCTGAACACCTGGTACCGAACCACCCAAGGGATGCTGCCTGCCCCCACTCGGGGCC